TTGAATCATTGTACCACCTTCTAACTCTTTTCACAGTTCTGGGGCAGTTTGTCAGAGAATGGGCAGGAGAATGTTTGTTGCAGGGGAATATCTTGGCAGCTTCTAAAATGTTGCTCTGCAGGCTGTGGTTTGTATATGCTTACAAATGAAGTCCTTATTTTTAACAGTGATATCCCAAAAGCTCCTAAACCTGAACCACCTGTACCAGAGACTAAGGAAACTTCACCAGAACGTAATTCAAAGAAGGAGAGGGAGCGGGAGAGGGAGAGGGAGAAGGAGAAGGAGAAGACTCGTCAGAGATCCCCGTCTCGGTCCAAGTCCAGGTCAAGGTCCCGGTCCCGTTCTCCGTCTCATTCTCGACCCAGAAGGCGCCATAGATCACGGTCAAGGTAGGGCTTCAGGTGCTGACAGTGAAGCTTGAGAATATTTTCTGCTGAAGATGCCACTAAATGTTATTGGTTAGTGATGTTTTTAGAGGTGTTGAGCTGTGGATGTTTTGGGCCAAGTGAGGAGGATGCATTTGGTGTATAAATGTGTTTGGGAGTGTTTTGTTGGTATTGATTCATGAGAAGATGCTCATGGTGACCAGCACTGATCAGACAAGGAATTCAGCTGCTTAATATTGATAATGATAATTGTGTAGCCTTTCTCTAGGACATGGGTTTGATGTGAAAATGCTGTAAAATACTTTCTTTACCTCCTTTTTTTATTATTCTACTACTTAGTAGAGTGACATTGTTAAACTTCAAAGCCCTGATTGTGTCTGTACATTTGGCATCCTCACCTAAATACAGCCTTGATACTTGGAGGAGAGCAACTCTGCACTCAGTGCCCCGAGGCCACATTTCCTCAACTGTGGAAGTTAGATAGTTGCTTTTCATTGGAATTTCTGATGGTGACAGGCCTTCCTCCCCTAGAAGGCGACCCAGCCCGCGGCGCCGGCCGTCCCCGCGCAGGAGGAGCCCGCCCCGGAGGATGCCTCCCCCACCCAGGCACAGGAGGAGCAGATCCCCCGTCAGGCGGTAAGAGCTCTGCTTTTTGAGACAGCTGAGGGGCTAAACCTGCAAAGTTAACGGGAACTGGAGCTGTGTTAGCAAAATTCCCTGCTCATCTCACCTTAGCAGTGGCAGGTGTGTGATCAGAGTGATGGAAAAACTGCAGTGTCGCGTTTCCTGAGCGTGCTGTGGGGGAACACGGTTACAGATATGAAATGATTTCTTCTGAGTTAGGGTAGTGATGAGAATTCCACCTTTTTGAAAAGTGGCTATTTCAGAGCTTTTTTTCTTTTTTGCTTCTTCAAATGGCTCTGGGTAGCTCCCAGCACAGGCTGACATGATATCCCTTAGGGCTTTTTTGCTTAAGTCTTAGTGCTTTTCTTTCCTGACAGGGGAAAAAAAATGAGAACGAGTTGGGAATTTTACTCATTGGGAATTTTTAATTATGGCTTGTATTTCTATCACATAAAATTAAATTTGGACTTGAAATATGTTTTCTTAAGATTCTTCAAGATTTGCCCTTTGGTGTTGAAAGTCACATTTTTCACAAGATAAGAATTGCTCTAGAGACAAAGCTCTTAGCTGCCTTGCAAAGTAAATGATGTGCTTTTGGCAGTGACAAAATAGAGATTTGTCTTCATGGGGAGAGAACAGATTCTGATCCTTTTCATAGGAAGAGAATCAAAGTGATGCTTCTTGTGTACAGCAGTTGTTTTTGAGGAAGGAACACTTCTCTTCCTTTCTGTGACAAGGTGATAACTATTGCCTGAGTTTGTCAATATGTTCATTTCACACAGTTACTGGGAAAACTGTGAAAAGTATCAAACATGTATGTTGCAAGATGTACAAGAGCACCCTTTCAGCAAATGTTTATCTCACTCAAGGTAGGGTTTCTTTTTTCCAGGTTCTCAGGAATTCTGCAGCCAAAGGTGGATTCTGCAGGTACACAATTGCAACAGAACTTGCCACAAATTTTGCCGCAGAATTCTGAGGCCCTACCTTTTAAAATTGCAAAGTAAAGATGAAAAACTAAAACATAAGGATGGATAGATGGATTCTGAATTGTTAAGTTGTTAAGTTGTCTGAAATTTTCACCTCCTGGTGTAAAACATTTTAGTGTCCTTGCACACTATGCTCTTACCCAGATCTGCTCTGGAGACCGTTAAGTCACACGTGCTAACACAGACAATTCTCTTAACCACCCAGAAATTAGAGAGCCCAACCAAAACTAATTGTTTCCAGGGGCAAAGCTTAGCTGTAGCCTGTAGATTGACAGAAAGCCAGTGAAGGTGACACTAACAATTTTTAGCTCACTGTTATAGTTAAGAATAACTGTGAAAGATTGGTCATTATCCTCCTCTCCTCCAAAGCGAGCGTTGCAGGCAGTCCACCATGTTTGGGAAGTGCTGTTGTCTGTGGCTCAGTGTCTGTGCTTGCAAACAGCCGCAGTTCTTTGTTCTTTGTGCTGACGTGTTCCCCGCCGCGGCTGGCCAGGAGCTGATGTGCCTTTGATTTGCAGGAGACGACGCTCCTCGGCCTCGCTGTCCGGCAGCAGCTCCTCCTCATCCTCGTCGCGCTCCCGCTCTCCACCAAAGAAGCCTCCCAAGAGACCCGTGTCCAGCCCCCCCCGCAAAACGCGCCGGCTGTCGCCCTCCGCCAGCCCCCCCCGGCGCCGCCACCGGCCCTCGCCCCCCGGCAGCCCCCCGGCCAAGCCCCGCCGCTCGCCCACCCCCCAGCAGTCCAACCGCGCCCGCAAGAGCCGCGGCTCCGTCTCCCCCAGCAGGGCTTCAGGTGAGGGCCACCATCGCAGCTTGGCTTGTCCCTTGGGGACTGCTGTTCACGTGCACCCTTGGAGGAACGGTGGGAATGCAGCTGAGCTGTTGTGTTTTGTCTTGTAGCACCCAAACACAAGAGTACTGAGAAAAGAGAGTCTCCTTCGCCAGCACCCAAGCCCAGGAAAGCAGAATTGTCGGAATCAGGTATGGCTCTGGCTTCTCAGATCTGCTGCTGCGTGTGGGGCTTTTAGTCAGAAATCCTTGGGCAGGGAAGTGCTGGGCCCTCCAGAAAGTCTGGCATTGAAATCAAGAGTTTTCAGAACTCTAAAGATGATCACTCCTACTGCCTCATTCTGTCCAAGATTGCTTGGAATGAAAGTTCAGCCAAAGCGTATTCCAGCCTTGTGTTATCCTAAGATTTGAGTCGGGGAAAACCCCATACCTGATGGTTTGCTGTCCATAACTTTGCTTCTGCCTGCATAGGCAAATCTTTATCCCTGGTTTAAGTGCCCTGTCCTTGTGTGTCCTTTCAGAAGAAGACAAAGGAGGCAAAATGGCTGCAGCAGATTCTGTCCAACAGAGGCGCCAGTACAGGAGGCAAAATCAACAGTCTTCATCTGGTATGGAGCACAGAAATTCCCGAAAACTGGGTTGTAGTTTCCTTTTGCAGGAAGTAGTTAAGTTCAAATACAGATTAAAACTATTTGCTCTGTGCTCTGCAGTGCTATTGTAAACTTAATTACAGATTTGCCACGCATAATGAGGTCACTTTAATTATTACTCAGGAGGAATAAAAGTATGACTTTTAAAGGTCATTACATCTTTTGTTAATGGGTTTGCAGCTTTAAAATTGCGCTTCTAAACTCTTAACATCACGCACAAATACTGTGTGCTGTGGATTACATCATCTGTCCTTACTTTGGACTCTTTTATGCTTGAGATCAGTAAATTCACCTGGGTATTTTTGTCCACATAGTTTCAAAAAGCAACTGCAGTTCACCTTTTAAATTACCTGTCTAGCCAAATTTTATGAGGACAGTTTTTTCACCCAGTAGATTTATTTATCACTTAAGTTCAGCCAACGCCTTCAGCCAATCTGTTTGAAATTTCGGGTTCCGATTTTATGGGAGATGAGGTTGGTTTGAACTGCAGCATTACCCTGTCAGTGACCAGTGTCCCAAGGATCATTTTCCAGAGAGTGATTCTTCCTGTGTTTGCAGATTCTGGTTCTTCGTCTTCCTCAGAAGAGGAGAGGCCCAAGAGGTCGAACGTGAAGAACGGGGAGGTGGGCAGGCGCCACCGGCACTCGCACTCGCGCAGCCCCTCGCCCCGCAAGCGCCAGAAGGACTCCTCGCCTCGGTAACTGCCTGCACTTGGCTCCTCCCTCCTGGTGCTCGTGTCTGTCTCTCTGCAGCTCTCACCAAATGCACATCGAGTCATGCCCACTCTGCCCAGATTTCTTTCAAGGTTTCCTTCCCATTACACTCATTTGGCAGAAATTGCTCTCACCTTTCTTTGATGGTGTTCATTTTTGCCTCAGATCCGTGGCAGATAGATCTGTTTTGTTTTGTTCTGTTTTCCCTCCACTGCTCTCAGGATGCAGATGGAAAAGAGGTGGCAGTCACCAGTGATGAAAAGGTTGGTTAGAAGTTCATCTCTTAAACAGGCTGTCATTTATTTTGGCATGGATAAGCATTTGCCATCCTTTTGTCCTTTAGACTTACACATTCACGGTGAGGGAAATTCAGACTGGTGTGCTGCTTCTTGTGTTGGACCTGGAACCATTTCACTGGCAAAAAGAGAAGGAGCAGCACCTGCTGTGTCCCTCACTGCTCACCCCTTGTTAATTCACATCAGCCTGTGACATCAATAACTTTGATGTTGTTACATCCCACTGATGCCTGGAAACAGCTGAACACTTGTGTTCCTCAGGGGCTCCTGGCTCCAGACACCCAGCTTTGGGTGAGCAGTGTTGGGTTCCTGCTGCCACTGACTCAAAACCCTCCTGCACACTTGCAACAAGCAATTGAGATCTTGATCTTCTGGGTCAGAGATGATTGGAGTTTTCAAAACTCATTCCTCAGTTCAAGAGTTACTTGAAACTACTGGAAGTAGACAATCAGTAGAACAGCAGTGACTTGTTTATTTGTGACACTTTTTGCTCCGTGTCTCTGTGTTGATCTAGAAATACAGAAAGGTGCAGGAAGCCTGATGGGTTTATTAATTGGATGTAATGACCCTTGGGCAGGCTGTAATTAAGCCTTAGCTAGCAGATACTCCCAGCACACATCATGATGTGGGAGATAAGGATGACTCCCTCACCAGTGCAGACCTTCCTAATTATGGATCCTGTCAAACATTTCTATGGAAAACAGGTTGGGATTCAAAGGCTTTGATCTTGTTTTGCAACACACTGAATTCACATACTGCCTGTTGCATAAATACATCTTTAATTAGGACAGTCAGTACATTTGAAGGCTGGGGGTTTTTTGGATCATAAAAGAACATTTTGGAGCAAACTCTTATCTATAAAAGTGTGTTTCATTGCCTTGGAGAACAATACCCAGCATGTTTGAAATCAGATCTCACTTAATGTAAATGAGCTGCTTTGCTTTTTAATTGCTCTCAATTTTCCCTTATCCAGTCATTTTATCTTAATTGCTTTTTTTTAAAAAAAGGAATATTTCACTTTGCCAATATTCCTTTCCTTTAAAATTCTATGCAAGAATGTGTTGGATTAAAATTCCCTCTTCCAGAAGTCTGTTGTAAACCCTGCAAAGCAGAAAATGGCTCATTTGGTGAACAGTTTTAATCCAGAGAGCTGCAGTTTAGCAGCCACTCTAGTTTTTTTCACTGCATTTCAAGAAATAAATAATTTTGGATTTCAGATGGAGCACAGTTTCACACTGTGAAGAAAATTACCTCCACCCAAGGCAAAATTAGCATCTATCAAGTGATCTATCACTTATTCCAACCATTTGGTCTTTCTTTGGCTACAAGGTGGTGATGGATCAGGTTGTGCTTGTGTGGAATTGTGTCCTGGCTGATGTGGTGGGCTCAGGATGACAGTCAGACACCGTGGTGGGCTCAGGGTCACAGTCAGGTGGGCTCAGGGTCACAGTCAGACACTGTGGTGGGCTCAGGGTGACAGTCAGACACCGTGGTGGGCTCAGGGTGACAGTCAGACCCCATGGTGGGCTCAGGGTCACAGTCAGACACTCATCATCTCACACTCTTCAGAAAGGTTCAAGTACCTTTCTTTCCATCAGTGCTCCCAGTAGAATTCCATTTTGAGGTGCATGAAGGAGCAGATTTTGTGCAGTGGAGGCAGAGCAGGGAGCAGCTGGTGGCTCAGCTGGCATTCCCTGATCTGTCCCTGTTTTCTGCAGCAGGAGGAGGAGGAGCCCCTCGCCGCCCCCCGCGCGCCGGCGCCGCTCCCCTTCCCCGGCGCCCCCGCCCCGGCGCCGCCGCTCCCCGTCCCCGCCTCGCCGAAGGTACCGACCCCAGCGGGCACCCCCTGCCTGCCCTGGGCGTGGGGAAGGGAGGGCTCTGCTCCCAGCTCCTTCTCTGGGAAGCTGAGGGGGCTGTGGTGTGTTGGGGAGGTTGGGTGTGGTGGGTGCATGGCCTGGATGTTGTTGGGTTGCTGCTGCAAATCCTGAATTGGAATGACACAACCGTGGGATGGTTTGGATTGGGAGGGACCTTAAGGATTATCCAGTCCCACCCCGTGCCATGGGTGCTGACACCTTCCACTAGCCCAGGTTGCTCCAAGTTTTGTCCAACCTGGCCTTGGACACTTCCAGGGATGGGGCAACCACAACCTTTCTGGATTTCAAGAGTTTTATTTTAAACTCTTTTGACTTCTAAAGAATTCTAGTTTAAATTTTGAGAAGTTCAAAGAACTCTGGAGTCCTCTTGCCCCTCTGCAGGGCACTGCTGACTGCCTGCCGTGCCTGGCTGGCCCCTGAGCGTTTGTTCTCTTTGCAGGTCTCCATCACCGCCCCCGCGCAGACGTTCTCCCTCTCCGCGGAGATACTCGCCCCCGATCCAGAGGCGATATTCCCCCTCTCCCCCTCCCAAGAGGAGAACGGCTTCTCCTCCTCCCCCTCCCAAAAGAAGGGCCTCCCCTTCCCCCCAGTCCAAGCGCAGAGTCTCCCACTCCCCACCGCCAAAACAGAGGAGCTCCCCCTCTGCCAAGCGGCGCTCCCCTTCCGAGTCTTCCAAGCACAGGAAGGGGTCTCCTCCCAGCAGATCCAACAGGGAAACGCGTTCTCCACCCCAAAACAAAAGGCATTCACCTTCACCACGGCCTCGAGCTTCCCACCCCTCCTCCAGCCCCGCGCCGCCGCGCCGGGGAGCGTCGGCGTCGCCGCAGAGGAGGCAGTCACCCTCACCCAGCAGCAGGCCCATCAGGAGGGTGTCCAGAACGCCAGAACCCAAGAAAACAAAGTAAAAAACCCATCTTGTTTGCTCTGGGTTTGATGGGGGGTGGTTGTTTAGCTGTAATGCAGTGGAAGTAGTTAAGGAATCATAGAATCCCAGAATGGTTTGGGTGGGAAGGGACCTTAAAGCCCATCCAGTGCCACCCCTGCCATGGCAGGGACACCTCCATTGTCCCAGGCTGCTCCAAGCCCTGGCCTTGGGCACTGCCAGGCTCCAGGGGCAGCCCCAGCTGCTCTGGGCACCTGTGCCAGGGCCTGCCCACCCTCACAAGGAAGAAGTTTTTCCCAATATCCCATCCATCCCTGCCTCTGGCAGTGGAAGCCATTCCCCCTTGTGCTGCCTGCATTAAAAGCCCCTCTCCCTCCTTTTTATAAGACCCTGAAATGTTCCACAAGGTCTCCCCAGATCCTTCCCTTTATTTGCTGGCTTTAAAGAAAACTTAACTTTGTCTTTAAACCGAACTGTGGAAGGGGACCAGCACTTCTCATTAGCTCAGAAATGATTCCATAAGTGACCATTCATGATAAACTGCTACAATTGTAAATATTTTTGTCTTTAGTGAGATGCTGCTTTTCTGAGCAGACTGTGAGAAGTGTGGTGCTGGCTTAGGAATTTTTTCAGAAGGAAATGTAGCTGAGTGGAAAGCCTTGCACAATTAAATAGCATTGCTGTTCTCTTGACTTTTAATTTGATTATAACTTAGTTAAAGCAGAAAGGCAGCAATCAGTTCTAAGCAGCAGCAGGGTTGTTTAACAGCTTTTCAGGCTGCATCATCCCTTTGCATTATGGATCCACTCTGCCATTGGATGGTTTTGCCTTTTTTATCAGACCAGCAAAGCAATTAATCTGTTTTTTAAAATCAATTTAAATCTTCTAAGTGCATCCTGACCAAGTGAAAGCACAGGTGTTCCCTTGGGTGTTGATGTTGCCTTGTTCTGTGTCTCAGCTCTGACTCTGTGTTCCCAGGGCTTCCACCCCCAGCCCCCGGCGCGTGTCCTCGTCCCGCTCTGCGTCAGGGTCGCCTGAGACGGCTCCCAAAAAACACCCAGGACCTGCATCTCCTGCCCGCTCTCGCTCTCCTTCTGCAAACTGGTCACCTGCAAAAAAGGCCAAGAGCCCAACTCAGAGCCCATCACCTGCCAGGGTACTTGTCTGCTCCTAAAACAGAACTGCTTTGGCTACCAGGGCAGCCTCTGCTTGGGAGGGCTGAATGCTGAGCAGCCCCAGGGTTGGTTATTCATTGGGGGAAACTGCTTGGGGTCATTCTTCATTGTTAAAAACTTCTAAAAAGAATTTGTAACAGGAATTTTTCAAGCTTAACATCTCCAAGTGTGGGAGAAAATAGTGCTCTATAGAAAATCAGACTTCTGGGGAAAAGTCTGTCCCTTTTCATGAGTGTATGTGAGTTTATGGGCTACAGAGTGAGGGGGGCCTGTTTATGGTCAGGATCCTATGTGCAAACTCAGAGTATTCCCAGGAGGAGGAGAACAGATTGTTTGGTATCTTCACCTCTTCTTCTGAGGTGTTTCCCAGGGACAGTTCCATTCTTTGCCAGAGAAGTTTGAAGCCTTAGAGATGAGTTGTAACATGTATTGAATTATTTATTACAGAATTCAGATCAAGAAGGTGGTGGCAAGAAGAAGAAGAAAAAGAAGGATAAGAAGCATAAAAAGGATAAAAAGCACAAGAAACACAAAAAGCATAAGAAGGAGAAGGCAGCAGCAGCTGCAGTGGCTGCTGCTGTGGCTCCAGCAGACACCACCTCAGCACAGGGAGAGCAGGAAGCAGAGACAGAACCCAAAAAGGTGAGAATTTGGGACTTTGTCAAGGGTGGGCGTGCGCTGCTCTCCTGGTGTTCTGACAGCCCTAATTCCAAATGAGATTTGGGGTGTGTGATTCCATGTGGGCATTTCAGTGCTGGGAGGGCTCAGCCTGGCCAGGCCAGGGGTGTTTGAAGCAGCTCTTTGTGTTTGTTTGAAGGAGACAGAAAGCGAACCCGAGGACAACCTGGATGACCTCGAAAAGCACCTGCGGGAGAAGGCCCTGAGGTCCATGAGGAAGGCGCAGGTGTCCCCCCCCTCCTAGGCCAACCCTTTGATATAATGTACATTTTATTTGGTTTGTACTCAGAATTCAATTTCAAATTGCTAAATGTGTTTGAGCTTTAGAATATAACATTTGTTGTAATAATTGCTAGGTTGAGGTTCACCATGTACAAAGGGCATGGATTTACATTACAAAAGGTGTCCACAGTGTACTAGTGACATTCTTTCATTGACAGTCAGCATAATTTCATTTAGAGTGAGACTTTTTAGAAGCAGTAGGAATTTGTTTTGGAGGTTTGAAACATGACCGTCAGTTCCCTCATTTCTTTGAAATCCAGCAGAGCCTTGAGCAGAATTTGTGAGGGGCTCATTTGACTTCTTTTGTATCACTTACATGATGCTACTAACCTTTGTGGTTTGTAGGCTTGCCCAGGAGTAAAACCACTGCAGAATTCAAGGAAGTACATCTCTATTTTAATGCTTTCTACTGTTGCCTGTATAGTCTCCATTAAAGCCAATCAAGAATAGCAATTTAGAGTGGTACATAAATGAAAGCATGTTGTTTACCAGGACACTGTGGGTTTATATTGATGTAACATGTTGATTTGGAACACTGGAATTTCATTTGTATTTTTATGTTCTTTTTTTAAAGGGCAGTTTCCATGATCAGCAGACCCAGAAAAAAAAATAATAATTCCTTCAGTTCCATAAATTTTGTTTGTGAGCTGTCGTTGCCCCATTCATAAATCTTGTCTCGTTACGGTTCTTCGGAATGGTCTGAGCAACTTTCAGAGCTGTGTTCTTTGAAAGTTTAGAGGAACCTGAACTTTGGATATTGTCATGTTTTCACTGTTCTTTGTTTTTGTTTTTTTAACTAAAGCTATATAAAGCTTGTGGATTAAACAAAATAAATTTCTAAATTTAAACAGATGTTGGCTATTTTTATCTGGACGTTTACATTTGCTAATCAGCTTTGTTTTGTGCAGGGTTAATGACTGCTCAGAGATGAGAAGGTGTTTGATCCACTGTGCTGGCTCTGGAAAAATTGGGGCTTTTAACTGGCCTGGTGGAGCAGGAAAAGCCCTTTAATTAGTGATGCTCCTGTGGAGTTCTTGCCAAGCAGGAGTCTAACAGCCTTACCTGGGCAGTGCTCTGAGAGGATGGAGAAGCTCAAACTCAGTATTTGCTGTGAAAATTGCTGGTCAGAACAAGTAAAGTGTTTGAAGGCCCTGCAAGAAATGAACAGCAGGTTTGATTAACTTGTGGAAGGAGCTGTAGTGGTGTGGGAGCTCATCTGAGGAATCCTGGGGGCTCCTGACTTTCCAGAATCATGGAATCACAGAGTGGGTTGGGACCTTACAAAGCACCCGGTTCCAAGCCCCTTTTAATCACTGGGAACTTGCTGGGTTGCTGCTGTGGAATTCTTGTAAGAACCCCAGCTGTGTTTCTGAAATCAGCTCAGTTCTGAAGCCTGAGGTTTTTTCTGGAAGGTGCTTTTGAATTCTTTTTGTGCTGCAGCTGCAGCAGCTGTGATGTACCCAGTGAAGTTGGAGATGGGTGAGCCTTTCCTTGCCCTTGTGCAGGGTCTGACCTGAGGCAGGGCTGCTCCAAGCCCTGCCTGGCAGGGGAGGTTTCAGGGCAGCTCCTTGTGCACTTCCCTCTGTGCTGAACCTTTTCTTTCTTCACATGGATGTCATTGTGTGCTCAAGTGCTTGTAAACCTCCTCCAGAGCTGGAATGCTGAGATCACCTGTTACTAAAACGTGTGTGATAAATTCCAAGAAGCTTCTGGACAGAGGCATTTTTCAAAGTCCATCTGGGTGAATTTGGTGCTTGAGGAGCCACAGACCTGAGCTCAGGACGTGCTGATCCTCATTCACTTGGATTTTCCCTGCATGTCCTGCAGGGGTGCAGCTCCCCAGGGTTTAATGCCTCCTCCTTTATCATCCCAATCTTGCTTCTACCTGGGTTTGGTGACCTCTGAGTGCCTTTTAATCTTAGCACTAATAGAAGTTCTTTAAATACATTCTGGGCCTGAGTCACTGCTGATCCTCCCTCACACCTATTTCCATCTCCTGCCTCCAGGCCTGATAAAGGACCTCTGGATGGGCCAGGCCTTCCCTCCCCATTTCCATCTCCTTTGTAGTCCCTATTGCTGCTCCCCCTGCCTCTTTTCTTCATCTATCCATAAAGAATGGTGTAGGCTTAAAAAGAGCAATTAAATGCAGTGTTTAAAAAGAGCATAACTTCTAAATTGTATTTAGCTTAGTATTTTAATTTCTTCTTACTTACCCATTCAAGTAGTAACATTTCATCTAAATATCAATTGGAGGAATGAGCCCTCTCCTGAGCTGTCCCTGCTGTTGCACAGACCCTTTTTAGCACAGAGTCTCTGCTGGGCTGGGTTCCATCTGTGTCTCTGCTGTTCCTGACACCACTGAATTCTCCCCTGATCCTCTGATTGAGCTCCCCTCATCCAAACCCAAATTGTCTGATCCCTTCCCCACTCCAGCTTCTTGGTTAACCTCTCTGTTTTTAAATCTTTGTATTTGTAGTTCAGAAATGACCCTGCAGGTTCCTGGTGTGATGAGGCAGGACCTACCTGGATCTCACTTCTTTTTTATCCTGGATCTGCTCGTGCTGAATTTTGGCTTCCTGACCCAGGCCACCCTCGTGAAGTGACAGACACAGGTCTAGGTAAGGGACTTGCTGCAATGATGGTATCCATCTCCACAAAAAGTTTCATTGGGCTGTGTAACTGCAATGGAACTGAGTCCTCAGCAGTGAGTGTGAGGCTGAGGTGAGTCACAGGTCAGTCTCTGTAGCTGCTTCTGAAGAAAGATGTTTGTTGTGTCAACAAGTGGCACAATGGCAGGTGTGTGTGCAACAGTTCCAAGCTTATAGAAACTCAGGGCTGGATTGTTAAATTTTTCCACTTGTGTGACTTTGGCAATTTGCCTGGGAGTGCTCGTGGAGCTTCCTGAGCCAAGGGATTTACCCTGAATTGCCCCAGGACACAGAACTGTTCTGCTGCTGCTCCCTGGGAGCCCAGGGATAGATCCCAGCACCAGGGCAGAGTTCTGTGCTGGGAGCCATCCCCAAACCTCCCTCACCTGACACAGACCCATGTCCTGAGCAGTGAGGGCTGCAGGGAGGGACCTGGGCTTGGAGGAGCAGTTGTGCACTGTGACTTCATTCCTGCAGCACCAAACTCCAAACCCCTGTGTGCTGGTGTCAAAGCAGCTCTGGGAGGAGCAGCTCAGCAGGGCACAGAGCTGGATTTTGGTGGAGTTCATTCCACCTGTTGTGTGTCATAACTGATGATCTGGTACAGGATCATCTCATAAACCCTTGATTTGTCTGCTTGAAGTCCACTCTGGATGTCACCAATGTCTCAAAGCACTGACAATTCAATGGAATTGTGTTTCTCTTAAATCAGGTCTTACTCATAAATTACTATTGGAAGTAATTCTATCTCTTCCAGGGTAATAAAGAGGTTATTGAATCTCAGCACAATGGGATGGGGAGTTGTGTATTCCCAGACTAATCAGCAGTTTGACTCTTGAACTTTATGCAGCAATCCTGAATGAGTTCAAAGAGGCTGGAACTGCTGGAGTCCCTTCAGCTGGGTGTGACACAACAGCTGGGGATGGTCCCCCCAGTGGCTGGAGACAGAGGATGTCCTGTACCACCTCTCTCTCTCATCTGGGCTCCCTCTGGCTCAGGATCAGAGTCCAGCAGGACCTGGGGTCCTTCCTGCCGTGTGGTGACACAGCTCAGCTGCTCTGAGCCAGCTTCTGGGGGAGAGGAGTGCTTGGCTCTGTTATCACTTGTTCAGTTTAGTTCTGACTTGAGCCAGGGTTTTTCCTTCTGTTGTGAGCAGAGCTCAGGGAGCATCCAACATGGTTAGAGATCTTCTGGTCCACTTGTGATGGTTTGTGTTTGCTGCCTTGGTGGCTGGAGGCTGTCAGGTGGTGAATTTTCTATATATCCCATCCTGAGTGTGGATTGAGCCTTGGGAAGATGGCTGGGAAAAAGTGGGGTTGATTTTAATCGTTCTTAAAGTAGGAGAACAACCAATATACAGAGGGGGATGATGTTCAGAGTGGTCCCCAGTTCTCACTGCAGGTCTGTACCTAAACATCCCCAGGTGGCTTTGGCTCTATCTCACCAGGCTGGGGATGGACTGGAAGCTGTTTCTGAAGGGATGAGGATCACACTTTGTTGTGGAGCTAGAAAGGAGGGTTTGGGGTTTTTCTTGCCTTTTTTCCCCGTGTTTTATTTAAAGTCAGGATCCCACAAAGTGCCTCCTCTGGGGTTTGCTGGTGTCTTGTGCTGTGCCCGAGCAGCAAACGGGAGCTGTGTGGCTCCAGCCCATCTCCCAGGGAGAGAGAACGCTGTGAAACTCTTCCCTAGCTGGGAGTGCCGGATTTTGTAATGGGATCCGGCCAGCTCCAGGGCAGTGAGTCAGGCCTGCCGCAGCCGCAGCCGCAGCGGAGCCTGGTGAAGCCGGCGGTGGGGCGGGGGTGACTCAGGTGACGCAGCCGCGGGGCCACCCGGGCTCCTTCGTGCCGCGCTCTGGGCTTGTGCAGAGCCTGGTGTGGGGTTCGGATAATCCTGAGAATCGGCGCTGCAGGAGGGAAGAACGTGCTGGCTCCCAAAGGGGGCTGGGGTCAGCGCCGGGAGCGCAGCTCCCCACGGGCCGGGCTTTGCTGCAGGAGACAAGACTGAGCCTTCAGTGCAAGGTGTTTTAATCACCAAGTCATTAATTATCCTCAGCCCTCGTGTTGTGGCAGATTCTGTAGGAATCGTGTTTTTTTTCTCATTCAGGGTCAATCCATGGGGAGTTGTGTGGTGAGCACCTCCCAGAGCCAGGTGTGAGCCTTGACCTCCGGGCCCAGCCTGGGATGGGCTCAGGAACCCCTCTGAACTCCACATCTGCTTCCCCGGGCCAGGAGCTGCAGGCAGGGGGGATGTGGGTCCGGAGCGTCCTTCCTCCCACACAAAGGCAGGATGTGGCTGCCCCGGGCAGCTCCCGAGTCAATGCGGGCTTTGTGCTCCCTGCCCCGGGCTTTGTGCTCCCTGCCTCGGGCTGGGACCCCCGCAGCCGGGGCTGCTCCTGCATGGAGCTGTTGAATCCCAGGAGAAACGGAGAAGGGACCTTGTCCAGCAGATCCTGGGGAGCTCAGGCTGCTTTTGGCGTGGGGTTGGTCCTTGTGCTGATCCGAGCATGGGGAGGATGATGCTCAGAATCCCTGGGAAGTTCAGGATCCTTCTGTTTCACTAAAAAGAAAACACGGAAAGCAGCGCTGAGGGAAAGGGGATTGAGGGAATTGTTTGGTTCCCCCGCAGAGGCTTCGTGTTCAGTGCAGGGGCAGAGCTGCAGCTCCTGTAAATTGTTGTGGCTATGAAATAAATGGAATTCTGCTGCTGACATCAGCTGGGGATGGCCCCTGGAGAGGAGGGTCAGCGTGAGGGGCAGGACTCTCCAGAGCACGTGCAGTCCTTATCAGCTCAGCCAGAGCTTCCTCTGAGTTTGTTCCCACCCCTGACCTGTGCTGAGCCGGGTCCTGCTCCGGGCTGGCCCCAGGTGCACAGAGCTCAGAGGGGTCCAGCCCTGACCCACGTCTGCAGTGGGAGAAGGGAATGTCTGGGGGGTTTTTACCTGGGGGGCTTTTTGTAGTTCCTCGCTCAGGCTTTAAAACTCGAGCTTCAGATGAAACCAAAGCTGATGGGATGGTTGTGAGAAATGTGGATCCCTTCTAAGGGTAACTCCCCCAGGCTTCCCCTCTCCAGGAGGGAGGAAGCTCCCATTAAAAATTGATAGTCTCCCTGTCAGCTGGATTTTAATTCAGCAAGTGGATTTGACTACTGATGCAAAAAAAATTACCTTTGTCACCGTGCTGATATTTTTTTAATGAGACAGAAATGGTTTGGCACCTTTCCAGCTTATTAAAACCTTTGTGAGTCCACAGGCACCGGCACAAGGGGACAAGAAGGGAAAATTGCATTAAGTGCATGATTGGCAAAACAAAATTGAGCTCTTATTTATTTATTTATTTATTTTTAATCTATTACAAGCCTGTGAATGAATCTTCTATTATTTATGGGGGAGGATAAAGGGAGCCGTCCCTGTGGCTGCAGGCAGACTCTGCTTTCAGTTCAACTCCTCTTTCCAGACAGGGAAAGGGGACACCTGCTGTTATCCAGGACAGAGATAAGTGAAGGGAGCTGTGTGAAAAGGGAGGAATCCCCGTGTTCTGTGGGAGAACAGGGCCCTGGGGATGATTGATCTCCATGGGTGCTGGGTTTGTGGTCTGTGGGTTCCCAGCTCAGCACAGGCTGAATTTCTCCACTGGATAAAAGGGACCAGACCCTTTCACTGCACCCCAGGGTGTCCATCCTGCCAGAGCAGCTGCAGGAGCTGCTGCAGCCCTGAGGCTTTGCTGCTCGGAGCAAAGGGGCCCAGAAGGGGCTGGCACCAAGCCCCGGAGCAGGGGCTGTGCAGAGAGGGGGTTCCCCCTGCTGCCAGCAGAGGATTTGGGTTTATCCTCTCCGACTGCACATCCCACTATTGATGAGCAGCCAGGGTACCATTTGAATTTTAATGACATCACAGATACAGCACTGCTAATTGCTCATTTGCTTATCTGGAATGAGTGTTAAATCTGTGAAAGAAACCTGAATCATGGAAACCTCCTGCACAGCTGATCAGGGCAGGGTTAGAGAAGCAGCTGTCCGTGCTTTAACCCCTCAGAGGCAATTCCTCCCCTTTCCATCCCATGGCCCACCCTGCTGCACTGATCAGCTGGGATTCATGGCTGGGATAAGAGCAAAGGATTTAAAAGGGGAAAATCTCCACAGCCTTGGTACTCAGAGAGATGCTCTGAGAGCCTGGCTGGGTTTGGACATCCCTGGCTGGGCAGAGGGATGGCTCCAGTCCTCAATTATCTCTCCCGGGTTTGTGCCTAAGTTTTTGCCTCTAACCAGCTCTTGTCGTTGCTCAGTAGGAGCCCGAAGAGCCTTGGAGCAATCATTACACAGACAAACCACCGGGGTAAAGAGGTGATAATTACAATTGCAAAAGCAAGGACCCGATGATCTGAAATACCAGAATTTCAGCCTGAGCAGGTCGAGCCTGTGCTCAGATAAGGAGCAGAGAGACAGGAAGATTTGGGAGCTCTTGGTCCTGCCCTGCAGGATTGTTGTTGTTCTCCCCATCTGCAGGGCACAGTGGCTTTGCTGGGGACCGCAGCTGCTTTTTGAGTGGGTGACTCAGGAGGTTTGAGTTCAGTTCCCCGTCCTGCTGTGGGGATCTCAGGGATTTGGGATGTCATTCCCTTGGCAGTGCCTCAGGCTGCAAGGTTTGGAGAAGGTGGAGGAGTTTCTGTCCATGTTTGGAGAGCTGGAGCACTCTACATGCTGCTGCAATGCAAATAATTTTATCAGAAAGATTATTTCTAAATCCTGGTAGAACTGCGAGAGCTTGGCCTCTTGTCCTGCCCACAATTCCTTTCCTTTCCTGAGTACTTGGAAAAAAATCTGGCTCCCTCCAGTGTGACTCAGGTAGGAGGAAATCAACCCCACATTCATCATGTCACTGCTTGAGTCAGATCAGCGTTTACGCCATCGCTTTGGAGCAGGGTGGCTCTGGGAGAGGCGTTCCCTTTGTTCCTGGGGATCGATGTCACCCTCCCAGATGTGGACTTTGCCCAAGGAGCCTCCTGGAAAGCTCAGGGGATTTGGGATGCACAGGCTCACCCCACAGGCAGAGCAGGGATGTGGAAGCTCAGCTGGTGCCCCACTGTCCAAGTGGTTTGGGTCTGTGCAGGTGCCAGTCCTGCCCTACAGGGGGATGGATTATCAGGTGCCTGCACTGATGGAATCAGACAACAATGGAAGGGACCCTGAAGAGGATCCAGTCCCACCCCTGCCATGGGGCTCCACACCAACCTTCCACCATCCCAGGCTGCCCATCCTTGGACACTGCCAGGGCTCCAGGGGCAGCCTGTGCCAGGGCCTCCCCACCCTCACAGCAAAGAATTTTTTCCTAATGCTCACAGCTTTGGATCAAGCCAGCCTGGTGATAAAGAGGTTTTGTGTTGGACTTGGTTCTTTTTTTGTGAATGTTTTTCTCTCTGATGTTGGGCTGCACCTCAGAGACCAAATTGAGCATGGTGGTGTCATTGCTGTGACTGGATTGATCCCTGCAGATCCATGGGATCTGGAAAGGAGCTGCTGCTTCCCCTTTGCCCACACACAAAGGGCAGCACACAGAGCCAGCAGTGCCTTCCCACAGCTCCCCTTGCCTGTGTCCCTCAGGCCTGCAGCCCATCAAAGCCCCCAGCAAACAGAGTTTCTGCATTTCAGCTGTGACAGAAGCCAGTCCTCGGTGCTGAATCCAGCTGGGATGTAATGGACAGGGCTCATTGGGGAGCCCAGCTACCAGCAGCTTCCAGGCTTTGCTGATGGTGGGGATTCTGCAGGAAACCCCTCTGGTGTGTTTGGTGGCTGCTGCAGGGGCCTGGGGCTGCTTTAACCTCTTAATCAGCCTCAGCCAGGCAAAGTGGGGTTGTTATTCTGGGAGAAGCAGGTTGTGTAGTGCTTTTTCCTTCACCAAATCTCCTTATCAGCCCAGGTGTTTGAATCACCTGGGGACTAACCTTAAAAGAAAACAGCCAATACCTGAATTTATTTACTTTCAAGCAACTTCTATACATAAAGGTGGGGAAATACAGATTTTAATCAGGCTCACTAAACTAGCTTTTTTTTTTTTTTTTTTCTCTTTCCCAAATAACTTTTCAAACCAGGAATGCAGTGGATTTGGGGTTTTTATTAAGGACTCCTGTGTGTCCAGTGCTGCCATGGGAAGGTTTCCCAGCACTCAGACCCAGCTCCATCTCTGCCTCTTTATCTTTTCCAGGTCTCTTCCTGCAGAAAGGAGAAGCCCAAATCTTTGTTTCCTGATGCTCACAGCAGAGGACAGGCTGGTATCTGAATTTGGAAAGTAGGGCAGCAAGAAACCCTGGGCAGAGCACAGCAACAGCCTCCTGCTGAAAGGGGAGAGTCAGGCATTCAATTCCTCCTGTTGTGTGTGTGGTCCTGGGAGCCAACTCTCCTTTCCCCCCTTGGGTATCACCTCCAAGGCAGGGAGGTGACAAGCACTTCAACTTCCCCGTGTTCCAAAGGAAGGAGGTGAAAGCTCTGCCTGTGTCAGCATTCCCAAAAAGCTGCCCCTGGTGCCTCAGTGGAGGGGACCCACTGCAGAGGGAAAGCTGCAGACAATGCCTGCTTTGTCCCCTCCCTGCTTCTTGGGCACCCTGAGATGCTGAGTCCAAACATTTAACCACAGATGCATTAATTACCATCCAGCTCCCAGGGAAAGGACCACATGCCAGTATCCAGGGGAAACAAAAAGGAAGAAGCACGGGAAGACCATTGATGATTAAATTACCCCAAGTGCAATTACTGCCACCGAAAGTTCTTGATGAACATTTCCTAGAAACATTGAGTTCTCCAACCTCTGCGCTCAGGCCACGGAGCACAGCAATGACCCAGACACTGTGGGATGAGGTCACCTTCCCACACAATGCCAGGGGCTGTGTCCTGTGCAGGGTAGCTCTGCCCAGCCCATGGCACTGAGCTGTTTGCTCTGGCAGCTGTGAGCTCCAGGGCCGGCTCCACGCGTGTGCTCAGCTGCTCACTGCAGCTAATCCTAAAGTTTGGCAGCCACCCCAGAGGAAAATGAGCCATGCAGGGACAGCTGGTTGGGAATCACAGCAAGCTGCAAACAGTCTGACACCGGCAGAAGTTGGGTTTCCCCCACAATCCTTGGAAGTCTGGCAAAGCAAACCCTGCTCGACGCAGGGGCATGGGGAGAGGAATGAGCCATAACAAATTCATCCCTCCCAGGAGGCAGGGGATGGATGGAGCCCAAACCCCTCTCGGTGCTTGGATGGGAGGGAGGAACGTGGAGCTCCTGGGATGGCTCTGCTGAGGGGGCAGCAGCTCCTCAGAGCATCTGTGACACGAGGGCTGGGCCTCCACTGCTGCATCCCAGGCCAGGATCCCGAATTAGCTGTGGAATGGGAGTGCTGGCATTTACAGCCAGGGTGTGGCAGCCCTGCTTGCCTTTAATAGGTGTCCCTGGGCAGGTTCCTCTCCCAGCTGCGTCCAGCCTGGCTTTGAGGAGCTCTGATGAACCCAGGACAGGCTCCTGCCTCCAGCACAGCCAGCACTGCATGCTCTCCTTCCCAAACCTCCTCAGCATCTTTCTCCTCACAGCAGTTTCATCATCATCATCTAAACAATGGGATGTTCTTCCATGTGTCCCACTGAGTGACAACATGACCTGTGTGCTGAGCTCCTCCCCTGCCTGAAAAATTCCCCGTGGAAATAAAAACCCCTTTTTGAGCACCAGGGTCAGCATGGCAGAGAATCCCACTGGAGGAACACGCACAGCCAGGGCAGGAGAGAGCCTGCTTTGATATCTTTAACATCTGATGCCTCCAGTTTCAAAAGCACTTGGAAAGTCTGAGATGGAAAAACTGCTGCAGAAAGGCCAAAACTGCTGGAGAAGTGAAACAATCCCATGTGTTTTTGCTGCTCTGCCAAATGGGGACAAAGCTCCTGAATGCAGCATAAAATAATATTGAGGGAGTGACCCACTGAGCATACGTGGGGGGCCAGAGTTGCTTTGTTCCCACTCTGTGGCTCGGTGCAAATTTAGCTTTGAGTAAGTCCCTGAACTTTCCTGACTCATTCCTCACTGCTGTTAAAGGTGGGTGATGCTCATTTCCCTATGGATTGTCAGGAGCACTGGTGATTTATTATGTAAAGCGTGGACAAATTAATTCTAAGTGTTCTAAAAAAGAAATAAATAAATCCAGAATAATATAAACAGCAATTACTGAAGGAGGAAAGAATTGAGAGCTTTCAGACTGAACATTGTTAGATGCTTCATTTGAATGGGGAGCATGAGAGGTTTGGTAAGTGCTAGCTGGAAACCAGGAAAATGTCATCTGAAAGTGAAATAATTGAAAAGATATTAAAGCAGAGGCAGGGCTGGTGCAGCTGGCTATAAATGAAATAAGCTATTAGCTGCTCTGCGAGATACCAGCAGGGGAGAGCTTTTGTTAGAGCAGAAATGCAGCAGTGATGAGGGAAAAACAGCCCTGGCAGCTCCTTTGTGGGGCTGGGAACATAAAAAGGCCCCAAGAGCCTCGCAGACCTCAAATTTGTTGCTCTACACCCACTTTTGTGGGCGCTGTGGGAGAGCTGCTCCTTTGTGCTAAACCACTGCCTGTGCTCCAGCAGGTGGGTCTGGGCTGTGGGAGCCCTGGGAAGTTCTGCAGCTTTGACAAAACCCTGGGATTTTAAACTTTTTGGGGAAGCAGGGAGGAAGGCTTGGTCCTTGGCCGAGGGGGAGTGCCTGGCTCAGCATTCCTTGTCCTGGAATAAGGACTCAGCTCCTGCCTTTCCCAGCAGGCAGAGGATCCAATTTTCCTTTGCCCCTCATTAAACCAGTCCCAGAATCCACATTTGGCCCCAATTGATGCAAATTTCTTACTCTGCCATGTAAAAAAAGTGAATGCAAAGCCTAAGACAGATGCTTGTAGAGTCTCTGGGACAACCCCATTTAAGGGAAATTTCTTCCCTTCTCTTGGAACCCACGTTCCAACAACAACAACAGTGGGACAGTGTCCTTCGTGGTACAGGCTGCAATTAATTAAGGGGGAATTACCAAGGGAGGTTCCTGGCCAGGGCTGGACTGCACAGCCCCACATCAGTTTGGTTGCAGTGCCACACCAATTTCCAGCCCAGGCTGTCCCACCCCATGAATCAGCGAGATTCCTTGGACTCTAAACCAAGCACTGACGGATTTCCACTGGCTCCCAGGGAGCCGGGGCTGTCCAGAAGCTGCAGGAACAGGAATAAAAAGGACTTTGTCACATCGGTGGCCCTGCCCTATCAGCTCCGGAGAGGGGCTCACAGCAGTTTTTCCTGCTCCAGATGAATTCAAGGGCATTCAAAGCTGATATTTGCGTAAAGACATCCGGTTAAGCAGCAAACGCCTGGAGAGACGGGAGGTTTTGTTATTAGCAGCGAGCGCTCCGTTGGTAACCATTCCATGGAGCCATCCCGGGCTGCATTTGGGTACAAATTACAAATTACAGGGAGGCTCATCCCGGGTCACAGACGGCATTGAAGTCACTCTGTGCCACCTCGGGCGATGCCACAGCCCCGGCCTGCCCTGGGAACGGCTCTGCCGAGACGCTCAGGTGCAGCTCCACTCAGACTATTAAAAATACAGTCTGGGCTTCCAAAGGGAAAGCAAGGACTGGGAGCAAGGGCGGGAGGCGCCGGGCCATGAAAGCCGCTCTGTTGTGTGAAGCCGCATGGGGAAAATGTGATCGTGGCTCTGCTGTTCCGCTGGAAAGGCTGGAAAAAGTGCGGTTTCTTCTCTTTCCGATGTTTCACCCAGTCCTCCTGCACATTTTTTTGTCCGGTTCTTCAATCCCTGACCTTAATAGTGAGGGGAAAATTAGGCTGGAGACTCAACTTGGGATGGATTTTCCCCTCTGCCAGGAAAGGAGCTGTTCTTGCTGCTCTGGTGTGGTGGGTCTGTGAGGGGGAAGTTTCTAGATTTTAAGTATTTTACCTGAGGGTGAGGCAGGCTGAGCCGATGTCGGAGGGGCACATACCCACAGGGCTTGGCCCCGCCAAGGCCGCTCCCAGTCGTTGTCACCGAGCATGACATCAGCCGCGGGCGGTGTCTCATGGCCGGGACGCCCACGGCTGGCACGGGGGTATCCCCGCCACCATGGGGGGACCGCGGGGACCCCGGTCCCTGAGGGGACTCCGCGGCCGCCATGGCCGGTGCTGCCCCTCAGAACTGTCCCCTCACGGCGGCCACGCCCCCTCACGGCGGCCACGCCCCCTCAGCGCTGCCCAGTATTGTCCCCTCAGGGAGGCCACGCCCCCTCAGCGGTGCCCCCTCACTCATTGTCCCGCCCCCTCGAGAGGCCCCGCCCATCCCCGGCGGGCTCCAAGCGCGGGGCGGGGCCGCTCTCAGTCGCGCTCAGGGCGGGTGAGGGGAGCGGAGCGGCATCGCCGTCCCGGCTGTGGCAGCGGCGGGCGAGGCGGAGCAGGGGCTGCAGCAGCGAGAGCAATGGCGCTGTCCGTGCCGGTCAACGGGCTGAAGGAAGGCGACAAGGAGCCCGTCATCGAGCTCTTCGTCAAGGTACGGCCGAGGGGAGGCAGAGGAGGAGAGCGGAGGGGAGGTGGGGCGGGGGAGTCTCGTCCCGTCTGAGCGCCGAGCGCGCGCGCGCCGCGACCGTTGGGCGCTCCCCCCCCCCCCCTCCTTCCTCCCTCAGCTTTCCCGCCCGGGGGGCTCCGAGTCCCGTCCCGGCTCCCTCGGCCCCTCCGTGCGCACCCCGCTCCCCGCAGACCCCGCTCCTCAGCCGGGCATGGCGAGGGGAGCCCCTCGGAGCAACCCCCCGAACACCCCGCGGGCGCGGGGGGCTCCGCTCGGGGCGGCTCCCGGCGCGGTGCGGGCACAAAAGCGGAGCCGAGGGCGTGTGCCCGGCGCCGGGAGGGAGTGCGGGAGCCGCGGTGAGTCAGAGCCGCGCAGATGGAGCGGGCGATAGCGCCGGCGGACCGCAAGAAAAGTCACTTTTTTTTGGGAGAAAAGTGCGGCCCGGATGCGTTTTGCTGGAAGATTCTCCGGCCGGAGCAAAGGGTGCCGCGGGTGCGGGGCAGCAGCGCTGGCACAAGGGAAGAACCGAGCGCCACAATGGATCGCCCTCGCTCGGCATTGTGTGCCCGGCCAAGCGCAGGAAGGCGGCAAAAAAAGCAGCAAAAACACGAGTTACTGCTCGCTCCCCGCCCCAAAAGTCTACTTTTTATGACGGGAAGTGAATATGTAAAGTAACACCAGGTTTTTATCCAAACTAGAAGAATGAGCATGTGTTGTACTGCCCTTATCTGGCGAAGATACCATATGGTATCTCCACATGTTTTGCATTCATTTATTGCTGTATGATGCAATATTTTGCATCCTCCGGGGCTCTGGTGATGCAGCATCTTACTTTTACTTCATATCAAAAGTAACACCAATTACTCTGTGCAATCTTCTCTTTCTGTGCTTAAACGTCCTTTAATGAAAGCCTCTGCAGGAAAGTATTTACATTGTTCAGATGAAGTTTCTTCCAATTGCAGAGAGAAAATCAGAGATCTCTTCATCTGGGAACTTGGGAATTGCTTTGTATAAAAGCAACAATGACAAGCATGAGAATTTCCAGCTATTTAGAAAAAAGTTATGAAATATCGATTTTATTTCTTAAATTATACTCTCTAAAAGTGTTGAATTTTTCTTCTTTTCACTTCCTAATAGTAGTATCAAGAGGCACTAATGGGAACCCAGGGAGAGCATTGCAGTGGAGGATTCCAGACCTGATTTTGGTCAGAATATTTAGGCTCTTAGTATAGAGGTTAGGACTTACAACTGCAGCAATTAAGTTACAGATTACTCTGAATTATTTATAGCAGTGTATCTTTAATGTAATGTGCCAATTTATCTTCATCTGTCCTAAAGTTCATCAGCTGATTTTTCTTATTTCTAAAGAAATTTGAGCAGTGATTGATGGCAGAATGATTTGGGGGCAGAGGGAAATCAGCTTTGTGGGTGTGTTTAAAGAGAATATTTCATGCATGAGGAGTGGCATGGAAGAAGCTGTAAAAATAGTTTTGAGAGAGATGTGTTCATTCTGATTAAACCAGAATTGGACCAATAAACGTGTGAGATTATATGAAAGGGGGAAATCAGAGAATTTTTCTGTTGAAATTTCTTTATTGGCATGGGTTTAAGCAGGCTAAATTTTGGGTTAGCAGCAAGGATTTTTTCCCTCAAGGAAACCTTTCCCCATTGTTATGGGTGACTGCTGCACGCTGAGCACTGTCTGCCCTAAGGATAAAGTTCAGGTTAAAATAAGAGGTTATTACTGCCTGCCTTCACAATCTCCTTCAGGTAAAGGGCATCCCCCAGCCCAGCAGACAGACCAAAACAGTTGTTTCACCTGGGTGTTGCTGCCTGTCCCACACTTTATTGAAGCTGTTGAGGATTATCAGGACAGCTTTTTTTGTAAGGCAAATAAAATCTTGTTTTCTGACTCATTTAGATGCTCACTTCAGAAATTGCTAGGAGGATATGTTTAGTGAAGAGAACCAAGAGTGTCTGTCTAAAGGAGCACTAAAATTGGATTTCAATAATTATTTTTTCCTCTGTGAATGGGACGCTCACTTGCAGTTTTTCCACGTGGTTGTGGGTGCAATCTAGAAAAAAAAATCCCAAGTTACTGAGAGTTTCTCCACTCAGATAATCGCTTTTCAAGGCATTTCTGGGTTCTACCTGTGCCCTGCTAGCCAGGGAAGCTCTTCAGGCAGAGGCAGTGGAAAAAGTTCTGGACCAAACTCAGCCCAAGGCCCGGCCCAGGGGCGGTGACTGCATGACCTGAGCACAAAGGATTGTAGCAGCCAGACCTGAGATGAAACAAAGGTAGGGATTAAAGCTTGAGAAACAAACCTGTGAAGCAGGAGAAAGGGTCTGGCTCTGCGCCCAACCCGTGGGGTTTGAGCCTTGTTAAATTGTGATCAGTAACAAAATAGGATGGGCACGGCCCGGGCAGGGGAGGGAGGAGCACACGCCATGACTGTCCCAGGGCTGTCCCCAGCACATCGGTGCCATTTCCCCCAGCACACAATGTATCAGTCTGCTGTAACTTGTGTTTCCAGAGCCTGGGAGAACCCCCTGCAGCATGAGGGTACTTAGGTAAGAAACTCTGTTACAGTGGTGATTCTTGGTGTCACAATGAAAACTTCTAGAATTTGTTTCATTCCAGAGCCCGTGGGCTGCCTGTGGTCTCTTCTAAAACAAGTGTAAATATTTTCTGAGTATTTTCTCTTGAGAGTTGATTGGACAAAAGCACTGATGTATCTGATTTCATTTCGTTTCCTTGTCTGTGCCATGTTTTATTAACGAGGGAGGCTTCCATTGTCTAACAGGAATATTTTTATGTGCCCTAGTGGCATTTCAGAGCAGTGAAGGCTGCATTGTGGTCAATGTGCTCAGAGAAACTTGAGCTCTGGAATTGGAGTGCAGCTCAGACAGGTCACTTGGAATAATAGCTGTGCTTTTGTTGGTGGTGTGTGGAATTTTATTGTAAATAAAAAACGTGGTGAGGTGAATTGGTCAAATAGGCCCAGTCACTTGTGGAAATCACAGAACAGTTACAAAACTGCCTGTGCAGTTCCTGTTAGGGAGTGTGTGAGCATGGAGCTGCTGAAAGCTCAGCCCTGGGCGTTCTGGAGGGCACTCAGTGATTGCATCCTCCTCTCACACTGAGGTGAAGACACAGAGGGTCAGCAAGTGCAGTGTTAAAGGAAGCAAACTCCAGACTCCACTAATGAGGAATTCAGAGCTGTGTGTCTCTGCTGGCATGGCTTGGGCTGGAGCAGATGTAGGAAGCAGTGAGGGAGGGTTCCCCTCTGCCTTGGGTAACGTGTGTGTACTTGTAATTAATGAGCCCTTGGATTCTGGCAGCTCCCAAGTGAGGTGTCATTGCAACATGGGGCACCTGTGTTCAAAATCAGATAGAGCCTCCTCTCTGTTTACCCTTGAGTTTTCTGTCAGTACAAGAGAAAAAGCTGTGATTTCACATTTAATAAATGCCCCACTCTGGAGCATTCCCAGTGCTTGTAGCAGAAGCTTGTCTCTGGTTTTGTGGATCTGAACCACACAGAGATTTGGCAGGTGAACTGTTTGTCTTTGGGGTCTGTTCTGCTCAGTGCAGGGCTGGGGCTGGGGCAGGAAGGGGACGTGAGCACCTCCAGAGGATGGATTTGTGTGGATTCTGGTCTGCCTTTGTCTCACCCTTGCTCATTCTCTTATGTAAGCTCTGCTGTGGCACCTGCAGCCCTGTAGCTCTGTACACTGGTTTATTACAAACCATCCCTGAGCTTCTTTGTCATCAGTTTTTGTTTTTTTTCTCACCCACAAAGTAGCTATATGATTTAGAGGCACATCAGTACAAGGAAATAACAGGACTGGAGACATGCAGTGCTGCTTCTCAGAGGTAGTCTTGGCAGGGTTATTGCTCGATAATCTTATTAGATAAGTCTCCTCCTTATGCAGCAGATCATCCTTGGAGGGTTTGATGTAACCTCAGCAGCTGAGAACCTCCTCAGCCTGTCTTTGATATGCCTTTGGTATGGACAGCAAAATGTCATGTGAGGGTTATTTCTTGGGAGTGTTGTAAAGGAGCCCTTTGTAAACTGAGGTGTAACCATTGAGTTATATCCTGTGCTCAGTGGGTATAAATCAGGCCTTTTCCTGCTCTGGTCAGCAAATTCCTTTAAATTCTGCCTGGGGAAGTCCTCACAGCCAGAAACATCCTCAGCTTTTTCATTTGGGTCTGGTTGGTGATGCAGGAACTGGTGCTCTTGGTGCAGCATTGTTTAAAAGTGCAGAGATGGTCTCGAGTGTAAATGTTAATTTTTTTTGCAAATCATTGCTAAGTAAGCTTAAAACCTCCTGGCAATAATTTCCAGAGGGTTAACTCATTTCCAGATGAGTTAGCTTTCCTTCAGTCAGGAATTGCTTCTGAGTAATGGTTGTATTCCCTGGCATCCCTTCTCCCCTTCCCAATGATTAACACCAGACAGCTCTGACTGTCAGGAGAACTTCTGTTCAACTGTGCAGCTGAAATGTGGCTTAACACTCAGTCACTTTTCCTCTTTTGCCCTCTAAAAACTGTGAGAATTCCCGGATTTCAGCTGTGGCCCTTCACAGGCTGAGGGCTGGGCTCTGTGGTGGTGCCTGTGAGTCACTCCCTCCATGGGACACGTGCCATGGACACATTCCTGCAGCACAGATCCTGCTACAAAAGACAAGTCTGTCCTCACTTTTCCCAGCTGGGATTTCTCTGGGTGTGCATCGAGGGCTTGAAGAGGAAGGAAAAGCCTGTGTGGCAGAGCAAACATTGTGGGGCAAACTTTGGGGCCTGGAGGCTGCTGGAAGTCAGGGATGAAGGAACTCTGAGGATCCAGGGCTTGTCCTGGTGCTCTGGGGTCAGTCTGTGGCTGAGTGTGCAGGGATGAGTTCACCCAGCAGGGAAGGGAAGGGCAGGGCCCTGTGAACACCAGCATCCCTGAGAAAACAACTAAAGAGACTGAGATTCTCTTGAA